AATTTCGTGGAGTATTGGCTCGGGATGAAATACAAATTGTGAAGGTATATGAGATAAGAAATTCCTTGGAGCATTGGCTCGGGATGAAATACAAATTGTGAAGGTAGATGAGATAAGAAATTCCTTGGAGCATTGGCTCAAGTGATAATGTGAAATATGAGATGAAAGTGAAAGAAAGAGAAGGGTTAATGATTTATTCCCTTACCGGGACGTTGTGGTTATTGATGTTGTACCCTTGCCGGGTTTTTATTTGTTGGTTTGTGTACCCTTGCCGGGGCTTCTATTCTTGTTTTATTTATTTCCCTTACCCTTGTTTGTGATTGTTGATTGGGTGAGGAAGAGTGTTAAAGCACGAAGGATGATGCCGTGCATTGAATGATATTTGTGGATCGGGTTGCGCGCCTCAACAATGTTAAATGATATGGATCGGATTGCACGCCGCAACAATGATATTTATGGGTCGGGTTGCACGCCGCAACAATGATATTTATGGATCGGGTTGCACGCCGCAACAATGATATTTATGGATCGGATTGCACGCCGCAACAGTGTTGTTATATATTGCGATCGGGTTGCGCGCCGCAACAATTATTGATACAAGTGTGTTTATTTTAGGGATTAGTTTCTTGTCCGCTGTAAATTCCAAGCTGCCCTTAGATTGTTATTCTGGACTTACTATTAATATTGTTTTCTCCCCACAGCATGCTCGCCCTCCCATATTGTTTACTTGTCTTATTCCATTATTTCCGTGATTCTTTACGTTGACATTTCCCTTTATCGTGTTACTTGTTATTATTGAACCAGGGTGTCCTTGCATAATGTTATGTCTTGAATTTATGCCTAAATTGCTTCATGACTATGTGACTTATTTGCTACATGACATTCAACATGTTAATTACTAAATTGCCTAATTGCCCCCTTATAATCCTTAATTAATTGCTACTTGTCATTAATTGTTTTCCTTAGTGAATCATAATTTTCTTGTACTTGTTGTCTTATTAACTCGTATTACTTGTTACGCTTGTTAGAGTAAATTTCTTGTGGAGGAACTGTTGATTTAATTGAAATGGGAGCGGGTGGTACGCCTACCACGAGATGTTGAGAAATGGGATCGGGTTGCACACCTGCAACAAGATGAGTTGGATATGAAAGTTGCCTTATCTCTTTATTTATTACTAGAAGTTAAATTGAGATGTACTCTCTATAAATCCTGATATTTTATTTCTAACTATTGCCCTGAAGCATGCTCCCTTCCCCAGCTTAAATTGTTATTTTCTTGCTACGTCTCCGTTGTACTTGTATATATATATATATATATATATATATATATATATATATATCTGCACAGGTTTGTTTGGTGGTCTGGTCCTAGCCTCGTCACAACTTCGCCGGGGTTAGGCTAGGCACTTACCAACACATGGGGTCGGTTGTGCTGATACTACACTCTGTGCTATTTTGCACAGATACAGGCTTCGGACGGCAGCAACAGTAGCGTAAGAGCAGGCCTTCAGTCCAGCGAGACCCGAGGTAGCCTTGCAGGCATTCGCAGGCCCTGGCATCTCCTTTCATCTATATTCCTGTTTCTTTCGTGTATTTCTGGAGATAGTGTCGAGTTTATTTCTTTCAGACCTTTATGTGTAGTATTCTTAGACCGTCTGTGAAACTGTGATACCAGTCTTGGATAGAGGCTTTTGTTGGCATTTTCCGCATTTTTATTCAGTTTTCTATAATATTAAGACATCCGCTTATTATTTAATTTTGTTACTTTTGTATTATTGCCGATAATGGTTATAAGGAATTATGTTATTAATGGAAAGGTAATTAAAATTGGCTTGCCTAGCTCTCATTAGTAGGCACCATCACGACTCCCGAGGGTGGAAAATCCGGGTCGTGACACTGAAGCTGCTGCTTCTGTCATAACCGCACCTGCGGTCCTTCCATCGCAGAAGCGGCCCAAGGCAGGGCAGGCCAGGAACCGCAGAAGCAGCTCCCAAGCCGCAGAAGCGGCTTTGCAGATGCGGCCTCGAGACCGCATAAGCGGTCCCAGCTCTTTTGGCCCATTTTGCAGATGCGGTCCATTCCTCGCAGATGCGGGACTGCAGATGCGGGACCGTGATCGCAAATGCGGAAATCGCTGAAGCAGTGAGGTTCATTTAATACGGGTTCCAAGTCATTTTTATCACATTTTCACTCCTCCATTGGGCGATTTTAGAGCTTTTGAGAGAAGAACTTCACCTAGCATCTTGAGGTAAGTGTGTTCTACCTATTTCTAGTTTAATAATTATGTCTTAGGTAGATTAAACACTAGTATTAAGGTGAAATTATGGGGTTAGAGCAAAAACCTAGGGTTTTAATAGAAGTTAGATTTAACCACGAAATTTGTTGTGGAATAAATTGGAAATCATATTTTATCGATCCTTAGGTTGTAGAGAACAACTTCCTTCGAAAAATTTCGGAATCCGGGCACGTGGGCCCGGGGTCGGATTTTTGGAAACTTGTGTTACGGGTTGGGAAATTGCTTAAATAGCTAGAATACGATCTTGTGAGTCTATATTGACTAGTTCCTACTTCATTTAACAAGTTTGGGATCGTTCGGTCGAACCGAGGGCTTGGACTCATTCTTGGTATTGGAAGTGCACTTTGGGCGAGGTGAGTCTCCTATCTAACCTTGTAAGAGGGTACTGTCCCCTAGGTGTAATAATTGAATAATTTGCCACTAAATGCGGGGGCTACGTACGCACTTGGTGACGAGGGTCCGTGCGTAGCTACTATTATGCTAAGTCCGGGTAGTTTAGGACCCTAAAACATATTTTACGTGATGTTCTTGTGACTCTATGATTAATCTAAGATTTGTCTAATTTCTGTTGAATATGGTAAACGGATCTAATAATCGGAACACTACTTTCTTGCCCCTTTTAAAGAGAAGTTGATAATTTGTGAGTGCTTGCTCCCTTGATGATTATACTGCCTACCTGTTGTTGTGTTTAAGTACATTTGACCGCGTCGAATGTATGATTCGCGAGCGGGGTAATAGATGCATTTATGGTTTTCGCCGTTCGACCCTCCGGCAGTGCACACTTTATTTTATGTTGGATCGGGCCGTACGACCTCGGCACTACTTGCGCATGCTTATTGATTGGCATTGCTGTGAATGGTATTTTGTTACATGCCCTAAATGTAAACGGCTAATTGTGATAACATCTAGTAAAGGACTTGCTGCTTCATGCTATAGACTGCTAATTATTGTGCTAATCTCTACTTCTTCGAGATTAGACAGGATACTTACTGGGTACATATTGTTTATGTACTCATACTACACTTCTGTACTTAATTGTACAGGATCTGAGGCGGGTGTATTTGGCTATCAGTCTGGTGCGCACCCCTGAGCGGACTCGAGACTTCTACGGTGAGCTGCTTCCCTTCCATGCCGTTCAGCAGCCTGGAGAAGTCTTTCTTATGTATTTTTGTTGTCTATTCTGTTTCGGACAGTAGGGTAGTGTGATTCTTTTGTATATTCTACTAGTTGCCCACAGCTTGTGACACCAGGTCTTGACACACACATTAGTAGACTGTATTATTTTGGGGTTGTATAATTATCATGACTTCATAAATCATTTCTGATTTTATTTCAACTTAAGGAATTATTTCAACTATTTCGGGGTAAAGGTAAATGAAAGTTTATTTAGTATTTTCCGCGTTGGCTTGCCCGGCAATGGTGTTGGGCGCCATCATGACCTATTATGGAAATGGATCGTGACAATAAGATAATGTGATAAAAACGTTAACAAATAACGTATAATAATACTATCACTTAATTGTCAGATTTCGAAAAATGAATTCAAACTTAATAAACTAGTGTTACAAATATATTAAAATAATTACTATAATAATGACTCATTAATATAATGGTGTGAAAATGAATCTAGACATAATTTTGGAATATTTCTTTTTGAGATATCAAAAGTATTTTTCTATCAATAATAACATAATCAGTAAAAAAAACTAAACCTCCATTCCAAACTAGTTGGGGTGGGCTAGCTCGAGGGGGAAGCTATGTTGACCCAAGGATGGTCAACTGACCACTCTTTGCCGAAAAATTATACTATGTATGAGATAAAATATTATTTATTATTGATTAAAAATAGACTTTGAACACCCTTGGATAGTCCACTTGCAAGGGGGTTCAAAATTTGAACACCCTTATTATATTAAATTTCCTGGCTTCGCCACTATGTGAATTCTATATATCCATTCAGCTCTATTCGGGCCCATTTCCATCCAAAATACCATAATCAATGGGTTGAATATAGAGAAATTTTCATAAAGCACTATCTTTTAGTGATAATTAATTATCTATAGATACCATTTGCTATATTATAGATTGTAGATACGTTTTCTGTTATTATAAGATGTATTTGATGTATTTAAGCTACTGTATTCATGAATACAGTAGCATTTCTAGGCGTGAAACAAAGGATTACAGTTAGACAGATTTTTGTATTCGAGTGTATTCGACTGCATGGCGTGAAACATGGGATTACAGCTGGACAGATTATTGTATTCGACTGTATTCATGGCGTGAAACAGGGGATTACACTGTTTTTGAATGGAAAGTGAATCAATTAACATAATCAATTCCTAATATAACTCAACAAACTCAATTACAACACATAAACTTTGTATTTCCAATTATAAAAAAGATTCTCAACCGAAAAATACCCCAAAAACATAGCAATCTTCAGAGAAATTATATAATACATCTGAATACATAAATTATATTAATTAAAAAAACATATGAATACATTCATGGAATATAGCGAGACAGTGAATACAATGAAATACATAGAATACAGCGGGATATATTAAAATATAATGAAAAAAAAGACAGTGAATACACTGAAATACATGAAATACAACGAGATACATTAAATTACAATGAAAAAATAGACAATGAATACAATGAAATACAACGAGATACATTGAAATACATTGAAATATATTAACAAAAAATTCAAGTTGCTCAGCCCCCAACTCCGTTGTCTTTGTTCAAGAACAACCCTAATGTCGTCTCGTTGAAGCGGCATCAATATCCAATCCTCGCTCGCATTCACCGTTGCCTCCGGTTGCCTTAGTTAACTCTAACTTATTTGAAATTAGGCATAACAATAATAGTTATTGCTGTAATATCTAATTTCGTACGAGAGCAGATGTGTTGACCCTCATATTCCACAACCGATTATTTGCCTTTTTCTAGGATGGACGATGGAGCGAATAATGTTTTTTTTTTCTGAAAAAGAAAAAAATAAAGAACAGAAAAGTTGATCCCCAAGAAATTTTAGAGAAAGAGGGTAGAATTTAGAAGGATAGATGACCATAATTCCTATCACGCCTGGAATGTGTATACTTCTGGCAAAAGCAGATAAATGAAATGGCCTCTGTCTTCCACAAGTCCTGTTCCAATCAAACCATCTATATTTTGCAGAAATGGGCCTTTTCCATTTTTTCTCCAAAATTTACACCCTCAAATTCAACTCTGCTTTCTAAAATTTTGTTAACGTATATATCATTGACAAATTGCTTCCGATTTTCTTATTATTAAGGATTTGAACTTTCCAGCTAAAATCGTACTAATTTCGTATTTTATTGTAGTGTATAGATCTTAAAACACAGTTGAGATATTTCAAGAAAGAGAGGATATGAGATCGGAAAGTAGAGAGAGGGAGAGAGAAGGGGGGGGGGGGGGGGAGAACATATATGGGGTAGGGGATAGGAGAAATTCGAGGGGATATGAGAGAGAAACATAATACAAAGCTTATTTTATGGCTTAAGGTTAGGAGGTGACCATAAACAAATATTTGGCTATAAAAAATCAAAAGGTAGCTATGGAATATAAATTTTTTAAAAGGTATTTATTTAAAATAAAAAAGGTATCAATCTTTGCAATATGAGGTAACTAATCCTTGAATATACTCTAACCCAATCATGAGGTCTCAGTTCAAATATAATCCCAACTGAGTAAAAAAACACGAGGTGATTCTTTCCATCTGCATAAGCCTTTGTGGGTAGAGCTATGTGGTATTTGTGTAGGTAGTTAGTGGAATAGTCGAAATGCACGTAAATTGATCCGTACATCACCGTCATTACAAAAATTTACTCTATATAACCCAATCTCACAGCTAAAGAGTACAATGCATGAGACAGAGAGTGTTATCCTTAATTACCAGTGATGCACCACTAGGAACAGCAGCAGCTCTAGCCCACATACCATTTGACAAATGAACATCAACCTACACAGATATACCCAAGCATAAAAATCAATTATCCTAACCAATTTGTCAATAAAATCTTTTAGCATGCATGGGAACTGGGAAGCATTGAAAAGGGATGAAGTGTAGAGAAAACGAACCTCAACCGTAGGATTACCAAGGCTGTCGAAGATCTGACGGGCCTTAAGGGATTGATAGAATGATAGTTGCCATAATTTGAGCTTCGGAATTCGGATCTACTAACTGAAAAAGAGATAGAAGAAAGAAAGGTTCAAACTTCAAAGACGTAAAAAGAGTCGTTTGAGTTTCTGAGAAGCCATATATGCCATGTATGTATTTATACTTGTGTGGAGAAAACTTGGGTGAATTAGAGCCGTTTGATGGATGGGGAGAGAAAAATTATAGCCGTTAGATGGGTGTAACATTAGAATTAATCTTTTATTTTTATGATTTTTCAATTAAGTATAATAATTTTAAATAGGTAAGTTGTACTATAAATGAGTGTCGAAAATGTGGAACATAGCTTAAAGGTCATGTTTTTAGCCTTTCTATTTATTGATTTTTTTTGTCAATTTAGATGATTCTAATATTATAGTGCTGCAATTTAAAATGGATTAGTATTATAAGAAGTGAATGTACAAAGTGGCGTGATAAGTCTTTAAGCATGGGCACGAACCGCACAATTTTTTGTTTTTAATATTTGATAGCGGATAAAGTATGAATATTACATTAAAATATATGTGTGTGTAGATTTAAAGGAAAAAAATACCAAAATAATCTATATCTATCTATATTTCTATATATAAAGTAGGGAATGAAAAAGCTGATGTGGCACCTCTCCTCATCTAGGAAATGTATTTATCTATTTTCTTAGATTTTTGAGAGTTTTCACTCATTTTAATTCAATATGTAAAACAATATATATCTAATTAATGCAATCAAAGGAGGATACTTTAATAAACAACCGTTTATTATAACAGTTCATTTTTAGGAATTCTTTAAAAAAAAAAAACTTTCTAAATGCATTAAAGGGGAGACTTTAATACTAAACCGTTATGATGATGATGTTTCATTTTAATAGTACTGGTTCAGTTTTAAGAATTCCATATATGTTCCAAAAGTGGTTCATTGGTTGTGTGGCTCCGAAAAAAGATTGTCAGTACACAAAAAGTGATGTGCCTAAACTTTTTCAGTTTGGTCCCACTGCTGCACTAGGAGCGCATTTGTTGTTTGAAATAATGGACGGGTGAATAAGGATTTATGGATTAGAAAGACTGGTTTATCTAATCCCAAATCCAATGTGGATTTTGCCATTGTCTTATTGACCTACTATTCTTGAGTTTAAGTTTTTGTCTCCATGGAAGAGAACATATATTGGTCCTTGTATACCCTTTTCTATTTTTTTTTTACTTATGGGTTCTCATTAATTATTTGTTAACCACTAGAATCAGAGGAAATTGAAGAGATTCATCTATGGAGGTAGGTTTCTAGAATGTTCTCTTCAGAGAACTTGAACGAAATGAATTTGGGAGAATGAGTCGGTCAACTCAATTGAGTTGGGCATCTGTCTTTATATACAAATCCGGATCCGATCCATTTACAAGATTAGTCCAACAAATACAAATCAGAAAATAATAAGAAAAAGAAAAAGCTAGATACAAGGCTATATACATAAATATTACAGTTGGGCCTATCAGTATTGCTCTTTCAATTTTGGGCCTGAAGCCAAATATGCAGATAGCCCAACACCCACCTTCAAGTTGAAGGGGGATAACACCTTCAACTTGCTCAAAAATGAATGATGGAGAGCACCAGGGAGAGGCTTTGTAAGAACATCAGCAAGTGGATGAGCAGTGGGAACATGATGAAGTTGAATAAATCCCTCAAGCAACTTAGTCCGAATAAAACGACAATCCACCTCGATGTGCTTAGTACGCTCGTGAAAGACCGGATTCTTAGCAATATGAATTGCTGCCAAGTTGTCACAAAATACAGAAATAGGAGCAGAAATGTCAAGTAATAAACGTGATAGCCAGATTAGTTCAGCCACAACTTTGCTCACAGCCCGATATTCAGCTTCAGCTGAAGATAAAGAAACCACTGGTTGCTTTTTAAACTTCCAACCAATAAGACTATCACCAAGGAAAATACAATAACCAGTAACAGATCTGCGGGTATCTGGACAGGCAGCCCAATCACTGTCTGAATAAGCATGGACAGACAAGTCAGCAGAATCAGAGTAAAAGAGCCCAAGATCAGCAGTACCTTTGAGATATCGAAGCAAGTGAAGAGCAGCAGACATATGAGGAAGTCTAGGGGACTTTAAAAATTGACTAAGGTGCTGAACTCCAAAGGAGATATTTGGTCTTGTGTGAGTAAGAAACAGTAGCTTACCAACAAGACTTCTGTATCTTTCAGGTGTAGGAAGAAGATCACCAACCTCAGCATGCGATTTGTTATTTAACTCCAAAGGACACACCACAGAATTAACATCAGAACAGTTAAACTCATGAAGCAAATCAATCACAAATTTCTTTTGATTGAGAAGAACACCTCCAGGCAGATGGGTAACCTCAATACCCAAAAAATAATGCAAGGACCCCAAATCTTTAATCTTGAATTCATTGTCCAAAAATGCTTTCAATGAATCAATTTCAAGCAAGTCATCACCTGTGACTATTATGTCATCAACATAAACTGCCATGACAACAAGGTGACCAGGAGAACCTTTGATGAATAAAGAATAGTCATTAGGGGAATGATGATAACCTCTAGAACACAAGGCAGTGGATAGTTTAGCGTACCATTGACGGGAAGCTTGTCTTAAGCCATAAAGGGATTTTCTAAGTCTACAAACCAATGGAGCAGAAACAGAAGAATTAGAAGAAGAAACAGAAAGACCCAAAGGCAATTTCATGTAGACCTCTTCATCCAAATCACCATAAAGAAATGCATTATTAACATCAAGATGAAACAAAGACCACTTTTTCTTGACAGCAACAGCAATAAGACATTTCACAGTGGACATTTTCACTACGGGAGAGAAAGTTTCATTGAAATCCACCCCCTCAACTTGGGTGTCCCCGCTAATGACAAGCCTAGCTTTATATCTTTCGACACTACCATCAGCCTTGTACTTAATCTTATAAACCCACTTACACCCAATAGGTCTCTTACCATGAGGAAGCTCAACAATGTCCCAAGTATGATTTTGCTCTAAAGCTGCAAACTCTTTTCTCATGGCATCTTGCCAAGCTGGTATGGGAGCAGCCTGAGAATATGTATATGGTTCAAATTCTTTATGCTGAGTAACAGAACAAGAAAGAGATGAGGGAGAGTGTAAACATAGTCCTTTAGATAAGAGGGATGAGAGTGAACTCTACTGGATTTTCTCAAAGGTAGTGAAGAGGAAGAGGAATCAGGGGAAGGGACAGATATAGTAGTAGGAATAATATCAGGGTTAAAGGGAATAGGAGAGGTAGAGGCAGCAGGTACAGAATCAGGGAAGGAGGAATTAGAAGGGTGAACAGGGTGAGTTGAATTTGGAACAGGAGATGGCATAGGTGAAGGAACATCAGCAGTAGGTTGTGATGGTGACAAGTCATCAGCAGCTTCAGGAAGGTCAATGTTGGGAACAAGAGAAGAAGACTGGGGTGTATTTGGTAAAATACATTCAGAAGAAGCAGGAAGAGCAAAATCAGAGGAGAAGAGAAAATGATCTTCATGAAACACCACATCTCTAGAGATGAAACAGTGTTTAGTGTGCAAATTGTACAATTTGTATCCCTTTTAAGCAAACGGATAACCAAGGACACACAGGGAAATGCTCTAGGTTTGAATTTGTCTCTTTGTGGAATGGGAACAGTTGCATAGCAAAGACACCCAAAGGTTCTAAGATGGGAATAACTAGGCACTTTGCCATACAATAATTCATAAGGAGATTTGTTGTTGAGTAATCTGGAAGGAAGTCTATTGATGATATAAGTAGCTGTTAAAAGGCAGTCCCCCCAAAATCTTATAGGAATTTTAGACCGAAAGAGTAAAGCTCTAGATGCTTCAAGTAATGTCCTATGTTTTCTTTCCACCACACCATTTTGTTGAGGGGTGTGGGGGCAACTAGTTTGATGAATAATGCCATGTTCAGAAAAGAAAGAAATGGCAGCATGACTAGAGCCTAATTCTAATGCATTATCAGACCTAATGTTTTGTATTGTAATATGAAACTGAGTCTTGACCATAACAATAAAGGCTTTGAGCAAAGAGAATGCATTACTCTTGGATCCCATTAGATGAGTCCAAGTACTTCTAGAAAAATCATCAACAATAGTGAGGAAATATTTGGAACCAGAATAGGTAGGGGTATGATAAGGTCCCCAAGTATCAACATGAATGAGTTGGAATGGTTTGGAAGTGTTAATGGAACTTTCTGGGAATGGTAATCTGGTTTGCCTAGCCATTGGACAAATTGTACAAGGAAAAGACTGATTAGAAGAAATAGTAGAGGAAATTTCAGATATACTCTTCATTCTAATAAAAGGCACATGAGCAAGTCTATTATGCCAAACAATATCCATTTTATTCAAAGCAGCTTTATTACATATGGCAGAATCTCTATGTACATCAGAAAATGAGAGAGAACTAGAGTTACACAAAGGGGAAATGTTGCTGCTATGTGAAACATTTGTCAAAGCTGGGTGAATCTGAGATGATGATTGTTCCCAAACAAACTTGTATAAGCCATTGTCCAGTTTACCAAGATCCAGAGGCTTCTTCAGAGAAGGGCCCTGTATAACACATGAGATTCTGGTAAACTGAACTATGCAATCAAATTGTTCAGTAATTTTGTGTACAGAAATGAGATTATGTTTAAAAGAAGGTAGATAAAGGACATTATGAAGAATAATGGACTCAGTTAAGACAAAAGATCCTGTACAGGTAACCTTAACTTTGTATCCATTTGGAAGGGAAACAAGAAATGGAATGGGTAAGGGTGTGATATTAATGAGATAGTCTTTATTGAAAGTCATATGGTCAGATGCACCTGAATCTACTATCCAAGTTAAGGAATCTGATTTACTCAGCAAAGTAGAATTAAAACTATATACAACAGTTTTAGGCAATAAAGTACCAGCAAAATTGGCAGAACTTAGAGTGTTGAGAGAGGGTCCAGAATCAGAGATGTGAGTTTGTTGAAGCAGGGATATCAATTGAGCATACTGCTGCTGAGTCAAGCCATGTACCACAGAACCTTGTTCTACCTGATTCTGAGTAGAGGTTGAAACAGAATTGGCAGAA